TATGCTTACCGCCGAAAAACATTTTTAGAAGACCTTTATGTGCCGTGTTACTTCTGCTGAAATTGAGAGTTTTATAATTGTCGAGTATTCATAGCTCGAATGCATTTTTTCACTGTGTGTATCTTGCATTTTGATCTTATATACTGTATATATCAATGGGAAATGCTAAACTGCTAACTTGTGGGTGAAGATTTGCTCCACTTCCCTTTGGCTCCCATTCATTAAAGTCTATGGTTTAACCAAAGCTATGCTGATCCTGGTGTTTTTATGTCGATGATGTTTTTGTAAATAGAGGTGTGACCCCTAATACAGTAGGTCCCATTTCGTTTTGTCGCCTTTCACGCGTGAATAGCACGAAGCTCACGCGCGAACCACGTGTCTTTTCTTTTTTTCCCCCCCAGTGACGCTGCAATGACCAAAACAACCACCAGGTGGCACTTGTGAGCAGGGTTACATTGGCGTCTCATCGCTCTTTCTTCTCTCTTCACCGGACAACTATCTGTGGCTTTAAGCCTAGCGTACTGTACATCGGACTGGCAACTGATTATATCCGTCGCCTATGAGTTTCTGCCCCGCGCACATCGACAATCTGGTTAAAACGGGCAACTCCTTGTAGCAGGCCAGTCTCTGGAATAACCCGCAGACATTAAAACTACTGCATATAACGTAAACTTTTGCATCACGTTGGTGATCTTTCCAAAAAGAGAGAATATCGTTATGGAAAGAGAAACTATTGGTAATATAACGCTGAACGTTATCTGACTCAAACAGCTCCGCTGGTGTCTCCTCCCACTCAGAAAAAAAGCAGACGCCTTTTCTCTGGCATCTCTAACATTTATAATAAATACATAAATATAACAATCATAATGAAGATGCTTTCAAATAATTTAGCAAGCTGAAATTCATTTATTTTAACTCCACACGGCTCCTCCCTTGCCAAACTTCTCTCGCTGCTCTCTCCTCCGCAAATCACTAAATGAGGAAAAGGGCAAATTCACTCAATCTATTTTGAATGTTACACATACAATATTAATATAGTCTAAGCATGTGTAACACCTGTAGCCCGTGTATTTACCACAGACTGTAAGTATTAAAGTAATGAGGCCCCTGCTTTAGGCCTCTGCTGTGAGGCCCACACCGTCATCAGTCTCGGTGCTGAGGCTTTAAGCGGGGAGTCAGGAAGGAGCGATCCTGTTTGTCAGCATGATTTTTTTGTTTAACAGCCTCCCTGCGCGATTGCAAATGTACTCAAGGGACTCCCATACCGTGGCTCACATATATAATATTATATAGGGATCAGGAGCTTTCTGACCCGACCCACCCGCACCTGACATGACTCATATTTTTGAGGCATCCAACCCGCCCGAAACCGCGGGACCCGCGGGTTGACTGCGGGTTACGGGCCGACCCGCGCATCTCGCATGTCCTGTTCAGGGCTGCAGGAGCAATTGTCCATTATTTTAATTGGACTTCTGGTCCATGCAGCACCAGAAGTCGCATTAATGGTGAGTGTTATAACAACATTATTTAAAAGAATAAATTCAGAGGCTTATTATATATATATATGATTCAGTTTGCGTGTTTCCGTTAGACTTTTTCTGATGCGCAAATTCAATTTTTTAAACATGATGCCAGAGTGTGAACATGTTTATTGTTGTCCAAATCTTGAATTTCATGCGTGTTTTGGCGTGTTGTGCCGAAGGTTGAAATGAATAGTTGCTAGACTGTAGTAAACTTGTAAAACAATATTGCTAATACAAATGTATGATGGGTGGAAAACTTTCTTTCTCCGTGTTTTACAAATATAATGGAGTTGGCTGATGAATGTCTGCTTAGTTTTAAGTACAGTAGAACAGTTCAGTCTAACTTTAGACTCAATTGTGTAATTGAGCTGCTACAGAGACATTTGAGCTCAATGACCGCTATAAACGGTTTGATGTCTCTGTTAAACAACATTCAATATTTTATACTTTGCTGCAGACTGTTACTATAGGCTACAAATGTTTTTCCTTCACTGAAGCAATTATTGCTCTGCTAATGTTTGCATGAACTTAGTTTGCATTTTTAAAGGCCAACAAAAGCACCTTGCCACAAGAGGACATGAGACAGGAGTGTCCAGTGAAAGAGAAAGAGGTGTGAAACCCACCCATCTGGTGAATTTCTTTAGCGTGTGTAGTGTGTGTAGTGCGTGTGATTGTGTGTGTATACGGTGTCTGATGGTGTGCGTGTTGTGTGTGTATACGGTACTTAATGGTGTGCGTGTGGTGTGTTTGCTCGTGCGCGTGTGATTTTTATCGACTAGGACGCAGCTTTTAATTGTGAAATCAAAATAAAACTTTTGCACCATTGAATGAGACTGTCTCTGCCTCCTCCTTAAAACTTACCTGTGTGCTCTATTTAAGTTAATTATATTTCCCAGGTCCTAGACCTGGGTGGCGCTGTTGGTTTTAAATTTACCACTTTATAGTTCGCCCACCGCTCACGCTACATATGGCATAATTTTGCAGATAGTTTGAAATGCAATTAATTACGATTAATAAATGTTTAAGCTGTACTTAACTCAATTAAAAATTTTTTATAGTATGATAGCCCTTGTGAGATTTCATAACACTTTTAAGCAACTTTTGTTAAAGTTAAACTCATCAATCTATCAATGTGCAGAAGCCAGTACTTTTCCCTTGTTTTGTCTATCTGAAGGCCAAGCTACAAGCACACTGTGGAAGCTGCTGATTGGAGGTCTCCATGCCTCCGCTCTGTATAATACACTTGCATTCTCTTGTATCTGTGTTTGTGTTCTTTGTTCGTGCTCGTGCTGTCTCTACCATTGACAATAAAACATGTCTTCTGTCTGAATTAAAGACGCGATCCCAGACTTTGTCATCTTCTTCACCCTAATTATTTGTTATAGTTCTTTCATCAAATTCATTCACATTGTTTGGCTTCACTATTTCATAGGATAACTTTGGCCCAACACTGACAAAGAAGCTGTTAAATGCATTTACAATATCCTTTCTTTCACTGATTATTGATTTATTTACTGTGAAGTGATTTGGATATTCTTCCTTTTTTCCCCCGTTCCTGATAATGCCATTTAATGCCTTCCAGGTACCTTGGATATCACTCTTGTTCTGCTCCAGCAAATTGTAATAGTATGCTTTTTTATTAGATCTTATTATTTGAGTATAAATGTTGATACATTTCACACCTTTCTTTTGCTTTTTTAGTCCTTTGCTTTAAATGTGTAATCTGTGAAAGAATGAATGCATATGAGTCAGATTTAGATTAAGGGATCCTTTACAGTATTCGTCCCACAGTGGGGACATTTCAGTCCCCATTTCAGTCCGTGATATCTGTTACTGTAGGCTACAAATGTTTTTCCTTCACTGAAGCAATTATTGCTCTGCTAATGTTTGCATGAACTTAGTTTGCATTTTTAAAGGCCAACAAAAGCCACCACCTTGCCACAAGAGGACATGAGACAGGAGTGCCCAGTGAAAGAGAAAGAGGTGTGAAACCCACCCATCTGGTGTTCCCGGTGCAAAAGGCCTCTCAAAAAACTGACTCAGGCCTCTCTTAAAAGTAACACATAATGTATGTGTTTGCTTCATAATAATATATTGGGTACAGCCATAACCTAAATAGACATGTTCATTGTAAACTAAAAACTTTTAGTTTGACAAATCACTCTTTGAGGTAACAAATTCCTATTTCATGTTCAAAATGAAAATAAATTTGTTTTAACAGCATCCAAAAAAATGTATTCCTTTAAACCTAATTGATTTACATGAAATGATTCCCTCTTTGATGGAACACATTGATATTTCATTCGCCTAAATAAACTGTATACCTTTGGAGCTTAGGAGCTTGGACCAGTCTCACATAAAAAAAAAGGTACGTTCTTTTCTGATTTAAGAATTTGCACATCTATTTTGCTGGTTATTAGTAACAAAGTCAGACTTGGTTGGACGACAGGGTTGTTCTGCAGTGACACAAAGTACAACTGAACCTTAGCTCGCTAATATGTAAGATTCTTGGGAGGCGGGTTAGCAGTGCTGCTAAAATAACACAAATTGAACTGCATATGAAGTTTCTGTAAGTTATTTAGTATGAGCTTAACAACTAGTTTATTTGTTTGGTTTGTTTTCACATCTGCTGTAGTGGTACACAGAGTAAAAGAATCTCATTAAATAAGGTAAGTCAACTTTCACTCCTGTAGTTAATGCTTTTGCTTCGTGTTTTGTTCTGTGCCAACAATACTGTCTTTTCTCTTTCTTTAGACTTTGTTTTACCAAGATCCCAAAGCCTCAGCGTGAAATTAATTCAAGTTTTTCTTTATACATTTATTTTTTGTTTATATATTTATTTTTGTGATTTACGTCTTTGTAAAGTATTCAGTTCGACACTGTTATTTGTGTGACTAGTTTTTGAGCCCTTCAGAGCAATGTTGGATAAAATAAATATACATTTCATTTATATTGGTGTTGAATCTGTTGACTGGGTTTTATGTCATAATTAAAATAAAATAAAAACATTTTAGATGAACACGGCAGGTGAAAGTATTGATTTTTCACGCAGTGGTCGAAGTGGAGATTTGTATCTATTTTTCCTCCCTTTACATCTTATTTTTCATGTCAGAGAATAAAAATGACAAAACCCATCCCCCATGATGCTTATTTTATGATGATTTGTCCTAGCCTGATTTATTCAGCTTTGAACCCAAAAAAACAGGCGGAATTGGAGTTTTTACAGATTTGTTCATTATGATCAGTCAATTGAAAAACGAAACAAATCCCATCTGCTAAAATCTTAGTTACTAATATGCAGTGATGGGCAGTAGCCACACATTTTAATCTGGCGCAATCCATTATTTTTATTCCGTTGCCCAAAATATAGGCAATTCTGGCCATTTTTATGAACAACATGTTAAAGCTGCGTAGGAACTGAACTGTATTGAACTAGATTGACCACAGGAATGTCGAAAATCCAGTTCTTCCTCACATATGCAAAACATCTTATCCCGTGATTGGGACGGGACCGGGAAAAAAACACAGGGAGTGGGAGGTGTGTGTAAAAATCAAGTCAGTGAGCTCATCAGGACTCTGCGTAAGAAAGGCTGGACGACTAGCACTATCGCCAAACACTTGGCCACAACTGGAATAAGAGCTTCCTTGCGAACTATCCAGCGTCATTGCCGATGTGCTGTTGTGGAGAAGAAGAAGGAACGCAAGCCACGTAAAGTGACAAGGTAAATGTACTTTTTATTATTTAAATATATACTCAAGTTTGTAAGTTTCACATGTGAACAAAATAACAACAGGCTTTACCAAACTATGTACTGAAACAATGTGTCTCTTTCAGTCAGGTGATGGAAATAATAGACTCCATCCTGAGAACAGACGATGAACTACCAGCAAGAAAAGTAAAAGAGCTTCTCCAAAGCAGGCACAACATAACGATCGGGTTATACTCGGTGAGAAAGGCAGTCCGGAATCTTGGCTGGAACTTTGGGAAGCCCAGGTAACACGCGTTTCTTTATTAATTACTTATCGTGATAACCGGGCACTCAACATGTCATTCTTATAGTAACATTTTGATAAATTCTGCTTACAGATTCGTTCCAATGACCCGAGGAAAAAACAAAGACTTGCGTGTAATCCAAGCTCAAGAATGGAAGGCTGCTGGTGAAAAGTTTGATGATGTTCTCTTCACTGACGAGTCAACTGTGGCACTGGAACGTTTTGCCGTGAAGTGCAAAAGGAAAAAGACCAACTTCAGGGGCATTGCAAAACCAAGAGTGAAGCACCCGGTCAAAATGCATGTTTGGGGTGGAATTTCTTGATGGGGACCTGGTCCGTTGGTCATTTTTGACGGTGAGTGATGAAGTTTTGAAAGCAATGCATGCAAAGTAGGCTATGCTAAATAAATTGTTACAATATGCTAACATATTATTTAAACCCGCAGGTATAATGGATCAACACTTCTACGCGGAAGAAATCATCAAAAAAGCTGCCGGTCCATACTTAAGGGAGCATTTCCGTATGTCTACACATAGATTCTTCCAAGATAGGCTAACAATCTGTATTCCAAATCTTCAGCATGATTATGACAAAAGCAACGTCGTGATGATTAGGCTACTAATGTCTGTTTAATGATTAAGTTGTCCTCCTAATTTGTCCTGTTTGATTTTTTATCGATCCAAAACACACAGCAAAAAGTGTCAAAGGCTGCATTCAAAGTAAGGGGATCAACTGGGTACCGACACCGGCAGAGTGAGTTACCGTAGTTATTTTATATATATTCTGGATGAATACATGCTGTATCGGAAAATAGGCTAACAGTGCTGACATGTCCATGTGTTTTTGTTTAAGGTCGCCGGATCTGAACCCCATTGAGTTAGTGTGGGCGTCCATGAAAAGATACATTAGCTGTGAGGCCAAACCGATGAGCAAGGACGCACTGATCTCCGCAATAGAGTTTTTTTGGCTAAACAAACTCACAACCCAGGTCTGCAATAAATATATAGACCACCTGGACAAAGTCATCGACCAGGTCATAGCGTTGAAGGGAGAGGCTACTGGCATGTGATATCCCCACGGGCCAAGGGATGTCCACGTTAGCCTATCTTAGCCTACTATTGTTAGGATTTCTATATCCAGTGTTTTGTCAAGGTGCCAATTGCTAATTTAATAAACATTCCTCCAATGATAAAACTGAATGGATCTTGTTTGATGAGTATTGTGATGTATTCCATTGATTGCACACCAGCGCACTGAGCCAAAATGCGTCAGCGTCTCTCTCTCGCTCTCTCTCTTATTTACATCACGCCGTCCAGAGTGTTTGAAAATGGGATTTATTTTAACCAATATTACTATACTATTAAAACTTTGCTCAGCCAAACAGTAAATACCAGAAGAAGACCTCACTAAAAGATCACGAGAGGCAGATCGCTTTCAGAATGTCTTTATTTTCGAATTGGCATAGAATTCTATATATATATTTTTAAATATATACGTTAATGCAATTTAATAAGATATTAACAAATAGTACTATGTTGTCTGTTATGCTCTTACTTTGAAATAGCATTCAATAGAAACACATTTAAACATAAAATACATTCACATGCACGTCCCAGCCGCGGCCAGGGATAGGCCTGGGTAGGCCGGTGCCTACCAGTTTTTTTCTTGGCCTTCCCAATTTTGTTCTTCGCCTCTCAAGTCATTAGACTTTTTTGTTTAAAGTCATAATTTCAATATTTTTATTTTTATACACACATTATTAACTAAATGTTGCGTTCTAATCTTTTTTTAGAAAATATAACCCCCTGAGCGTCATCACGTTCCTACGTTGCTTCAAATATAGTTTATTGGCTGAACAATTTTGTCCAATAAGCTGCATGATCATATCATACAGCGCGAAGCTCGTTCCCCGAGAACAACAGCTATTCCTCCTCTTAAGGACTGACAATGCTCTCAAAACATTCACAACAGAGTATCCTTTTTCATTTTATTTTTAAGAAAGTTCAGCGTGAACTTCTTGAGGTGGCCCGTAGGTCCCAGAGGAGGAGAGCGCAGTCAGGCCAGGCTCGCCTCGCACATCTTAAAGCTGCTTTCAATATCTTTTCAAATCTGTTTTCCTTTTCTCCCATAGCATGTCTGTAACAAAAGTTCTCATAATCTGAAGTCAGCGTATTTACAAGGTTTTATGAAACAGAATTCTGAGAAAAACAGGTTTAAAGATCGACATTCTAAACATAATCATCACACAAACATTTTTGTCACTGCATGTTGTTTTAGTCAACTTAGAAGATTAAAAAGATGTTAACCAATTAAACACACAATAAAATATTCAATGGATGAATTTTGACTCAAAAATTAAGAAAATTAGTATATGATTCTTCAAGGAGAAACTTAAGTAACTTTAAACACAAATAAAACAAATGTCCGTCGAGTGTCTCTGGTTCTGTCCAAGTGTCTATGATCCGCGTGTCTCCGCCTGTCTGGGTTCTGTCTGTGTATATGTAAATGTAAATGTAAATGTAAATGTCTGTCTGTGGTTCTGTTCGGGTGTCTATGGTCCTGTCTGTGGTTCTGTTCGCGTGTCTATGGTCCGCGCTCGGAGCCCAGACGGCAGTGCGTTCACTGAGCTGTCAGAGCGGGGGTCACAGCAGCTGCTCCCGGGGCCAGAGCGGAGGATGTAACGTAACGTTCGGTTTATCAAAACATATCACAATATTTAACGTATAACACTAGTGAATTTCACCTAGATTTTTTCAGACATTAAAGACAAGATGTTATATAATAATTGTTTAATGAAAAAACAATTTTGCCAAAAAAATGACAATCGACCTATTTTTACTGTTTACTCGGAACGTGCCAGCGTGACATCCGACGGGTTTTCCAAGAATGCATCACATATATACGTTAATGCAATTTAATTATAAAGATTAACATTAGTACAAAATATGTATATGTTGTCTGTTATGCTCTTACTTTGAAAAAGCATTCAATAGCAACACATATACATTCACATCCACGGCTTGAACACACAGCCAATTTTACACATTTCCTTTTGACAAGGAAAGAAGATAACAATCTGATAAAGTTACGTAATTGCACACAAGCAAACAAAAGATGTGCAACCAAAATTGCCTCAGACAAGAATCGAACCTGGGTTCTCCAGGTCCCAGTCCTCAATGCTAACCATTCGGCCAACATAGTATCACTGGGCTGACTTAACCTGCCAGCTTGTGGCGATAAGATGTAATATTTTTCACGCAGCTGCGTGATTTCCGAAAAGCGCGAGTGAAGACGACAAAACGAAATGGGACCTACTGTACTTTGAGTATTAGGGGTCACCCTCAGCACTTTGATGAGCCTTGTGTATGACTTGTGCTATACAAATAAACTTGCCTTGCCTTGCCTAATAACCGACCAATCAGGCACCTCCTGTCCCCAAGTTTGGCTTCATCTATTGGAAGTGTTTCTCTTGTGTATATAATATTTACAATTTTGTATTATGTAAATGTGACTCAGGGTTTTTTATGCACAATTTTGATATTCTACTGTTGTTTCTTGTACACTTGCTCAAAATAAACATGGCTTTTTAAAAATCTATTCTAGAGAGATTTGCAAACAGGATCAGGTTTGCTCCTGATTGGCTCTTGGTTTGCTCGGTTGTTGCCATCCTCAAATTTAGCTACAGATTCTTGTCCTTGGAGCCTGTATAAGGTGGCTCTAATCGACAGAGGTGTGGACTCGAGTCATGTGACTTGGACTCGAGTCAGACTCGAGTCATTATTTTGATGACTTTAGACTCGACTTGACCAAATATAAAAAGACTTGCAACTCGACTTGGACTTTAACATCAATGACTCTGACTTTCACTTGGACTTGCGCCAATTGACTTGTAAAGACTTGCGTAACCCGGGCCATTTTTACCTTTCTCCGCATCTCTCTTTCTATCTATGCCGTCTCTGAAGAAACAAAGCCTCGCGGTAGTTGTAGCGCTCGCGAGAGAGTTCGAACGTGAGTTCCCCTCAGTTCGCGCAGCAACACTTCCCTAAACAAGCGGACTGCATTCACCGGTGGGTGTGTTGTCTAGGGCAGGGGTTCCCAAAGTTTTTAGCCCGCGACCCCCATCATAAATGCCCTGCTAACCCGCGACCCCCCCCCCCCCCCCCCCCCGTGCGAGCGCATTTCTTGCGGCTTGCCCTCACTGTTCTCCTACCGCGGTAAAGTGGGCCGGCTTTCCGGAGTCAGCGGTAAAGAGGTCCGCACATTCCTGCGGGCGGGGCCGCTTTCTGCTGTTACTTTATGCGGTTCATCCCCGCGGCTTCTCTTTCCAAAGTTACTGTCAGTAAAGGCATAAACCCGGCCACCCGCTTTTAATGTGCGGACCCTGATACAAGTGACTTTTCTCCCCCTCCGGGTTTTTCTGTTTTTCTGTTGTGGATATTAACCACGTTTCATTTTAAAGCAGGTATTATTTATTTGTAGCCTCCAAACACCTTTAGTTTTAGCAAACAACAGCAGGACACGCTTTGTCGCTGCGCATGATGTGAGCTGTGTTACGTGATGATTTTGATTGACGCTGCAATGAATGGGACAAAATTACTAACGTTATTAAAATATATTATAGTCTCCAAACACAATTTAACAAGTAGTCCTTTTGAATCAAATCAAATGCTAAATAAATATTACAGGGCTTTATATTTGCTCAAAAAAAAAAAAAACTTTTTTTTTGTTTGTGTAGAAATCATCTTGCGACCCCCCCAGGGGTTCCCGCGACCCCCCGGGGGGTCGGGACCCCCACTTTGGGAACCACTGGTCTAGGGGAGCTGGAAATGAGCGAGCTGCAGGTATATATTTTGTTCTACAAACCGTAATTGATATGCTTTCACTACAGGCGCCTCATACAATTGAATCGACGCAGTTGTCACACTGTGTGCCGTGTTTTAAAGAGGAACTGGTGAGTCAAACTAGCGCTAGCCTGCGCTGCTCTGTTGGCTCTTTCTTATATTTTTCTGTGTGGGCGCCGAGGCCTATTATTATGAGTATGTTTTTGCTGTGCTCCTCCTGCTAAAGTTTGCATACATTAGATAGTTGTTTTGATTATGTGCACTAAGCTAGATTAATATTTGCACTATTGTTTATGGTGCATTGATATGAGAATCAGTGCTTTGACTGATTGAATTAATTTATATGAGACATTTTATTATGTAATGATATATTGGTAATGATGAGATATTGCTAATGCTGGTCCAGTTGATGGCGAGCTGCCCCAGGTCCAAAGCCTAGACCCCTCATACTACCCCTATTCTACAGTAGGACATTTGGAACAATAACCACTACGGACATTAAACTGATTATATAGATACAGGTCCTAGCCCAATACTCATATTCATATATGCTGCACTTGCTACTTCCCATTAAAAACCCCAAAGATAAAAAGTATGTTGACACGGACTGCTCTGATTTTATGTGTGGTCTGTGCATGTGTAACTGAGCCTGCATCTGGCACAACATCCAATTAGATCACGTAGATAGTTTTGATTTATCAGCAGCCAACGACATGGAACAAACTGTTAGTCCATGGGTCAGAGACCAACGAGAATGCACCAGCAAAATGATTCCTAACATTATTTTGTTTGCCTACAAAAGTACGTGGAGACCAACAAGAAACAAATCGCGGTCAAAAAGACTCGAGAGGACTCGAAAGTCAAACCGTAGGACTTGGGACTGACTTGAGATTTGTTGGCCTTTGACTTGGACTCGACTCGGGACTTGCCTGTCTTGACTCGTGACTTGACTCGGGACTTGAGGGCAATGAATTGAGACTGACTTGTGACTTGCTAAACAATGACTTTGTCCCACCTCTGCTAATCGACTTCTTCTGTATAAAGACAAACATATGCACTTAGTCCAGTCGTTCTCTGTAATTTTTAGGGGTGGGAACCTCAGGGTACCTCACGATACGATACGATGTGCGATACAAAGCTCACGATAACGACAATCTCACGATATGACGATGCAGCGATTATCGATATATTGGTCAAAAATATACCTACGATAAAAATTTTCTTATATTTATGGCATAAATAAAGTGAAAAAATACACTTAATTTCAAGATAAATGGATAACGTGTCACGTAACATTAAAGTGAACAAGCAAAAATGCCTTTTAACCTGCACATTTTAGTAAAAATCTTACTTAGTCTTACATCCAATAAAATCAATATGAACATTCTGCAGAAATTGTAGAATGCGTAATGTAGCCAAAGTATCAATACTTCAAATAAAGCTTTTTTTTAAAATAAATCGATACTAGCAGAAGCATATCGATAATCGATTGCGTGAGAAAGTATCATGATACATCATACACCATATCAATATATAGTAATTTGTAGTGATTTTAAACTTTTAATACTAATCATTTCATTCGCTGTTTGCACTGTTCCTTTCTTTGCACACTCTGAGTGATACCATTTATGCCAAATATGACATGTACATTTCTCTATCTATTCAGTCTATTTAATCTTATCTTATTTTGTTCTTATTCCAAAACAGATTTTGTGCACTGAAAAAAGGACAAAAAACTCCTAGTAAACCAGTCTATCACAGCTCCAGAGCTTCTGTGTAGTCAATCTAATACTTCTCCTGGGGCATCGGCTATAATTTCCAAATGTCCCTTATATCTCCCTCTTCTCTTCTCATAACTCGCCTCCTGCTGAACGAGATAACTTTGGATTGGATTTCCGTATCAGAGGCCCAGGTGAGGAGGAAGAGGAGGCTGCACTCTGCCTGTCTGAAAACGCACTGATGGATGGACGTCCCGGGATCGCTGTGGAACGTGGGGGGCCTGAACCGTTCGCATCAAATGATCAAATTCAGACTTTTCTCAAGGACTTCTGGAATTCGCTGCTTGCTCTCAGCCTGAGATCAGCACAGAGGGGAAAAAGAGCAGCAGCTAAATACCAGAATGAGGGAAAGGCATTGTACAAAATATTCTATTACATTAATGTTGTATTCAATAACCAAATTATAGCAAGCTGAATCAAATTCAACCACTGACTCGCATGGATGGAAAGACAAAAAAAATCAATACCAAAGCATTTATTCTATCTAACTATAATAATACATATCAGAAAATATCAAACTCACTTATTTGAACATTTTTTGAATATCACATGATAATAATTCACAAACAGCTGTAAAAATGTGTATTCCATTGGATTACCAGTGTTTTCTAATTAGTGGAACCTACATAGATAATATCAAGCTTATTAATCAAGTTTGTGTTTACAACCACCTAGCAAATTGGAAATTTCACAATCTTCTAATCCCTTCACATGTTCCAAAATCTCCTTTCCCCCACCAACTCTGCTTCTACTACTGTGTGGGGAAATAAAATTTCAATTTACTACAAGAAATAAAAGGTATAGAAACCTTTAAGTAAGACAAGAGCGATTGGGATCTAATGCAGAGCAACCATGATGACAAATGTGCTGTGTTGTCCGCAGGTCTACTGGAGCAAGCCTGGGATCGCTTTCCACTGCAACACGAAGAATACCCAGCGCTGCCAATTAATGAGACTTGGGGGGACTGTCCAATTCTGCAGATTAATGCTGGATATTGGAGCTCGCGAAGGATAAATCAGAGCTCATGGTGCCACTTTGGGCGGTGGGAAATGAGTAAAAGGCTGTGTGTTACAAATGGAACTGAATGGAGCTGGACGGTTCCTTGGCAAAGCTCGCACAAAAGCACTTTTATGAACAGGCCATCGGGCGGGTGTGGACCTGTCATCATTGCGGCACAGATACTAAAGTGTCTAGAGTGAACGTCGTGCAGCGCTGCAGTAACTTTATTGATTGTAAAACAGCACAGTGCTAATTGTCTCTTCAGTTTTCAGTGTGTTTAAGACTGGAGAGGCGTCTTATCAGCGCAGCCAGACGCCGGCATATGCACAGAGATGCACACTGTGTAGTCAGCGGAGTCGTCAAGGCAGTCGTCAGGGTGGTGTGCAAAACGTGTGAGGGGTGGTGTAATGCCAAGAGCTGCATGAGTCCGGGATGGGGGAAGGGGCATCAATGACTTAGACATATATAATTACAAATATATATGTGTCAAGAGTCATTATCTTGGCTTAATGCAAACTTTTGGATTCATTTTCTCAAACTATCAACATTTCAAAACCTGTACAAACACAATTTCATAGTAGAAAATAAGAGACACACATATACATATAAATATACGGTTCATACATGCTTTGAAAAGGGGTTAGATGAAGTAGACGCTTATATACTTCCAAACCCTCCACACCCGTTCAAAACAAAACCATTTAGAACAAATTTAATCATTTATAGTACTGTACATGCAGTAACACAATCCAATATCATATTGTTTACAGAGACAAGACAACACACACACAGACAAGACACAGGCTCAAACACTCTCTGACCCTACACCGCTCTCCCATAGATTACGCTGTGCTGAGGGCATCACTTTCCTCCAAGTATCCTTCAGTGGACTTATTTTATCAGGTTTAACATGTTTTTCTTTGGAGATACACATTGAATACACATATATATATATATATATATATATATATTTTGTCTGTAATTTCCAGTGAGCATCTCTGACCTGGAATACGTACCTTCAGTGGCAGATTTCAGATGCACTCAACATTATCTGGGTAGTGTGTGGAAATAGTTTCAATGTATTCATTTTTTTTCTCCTTTTGAGCAAGTTTTAAAATATTTCATCTCCTGTATTGTTGCCATACTGTTGGAACGTCTATTCACATTCATATAACTTCTATAGAAAAATCTGGGCAGGGCTAAAGGCGGCTGTATTGCTTTTCGAACTTTCCTTTTTTCTTTCACGAAAAAAACTACAAAATGCATCTCCAGTCAAGCATTTTGAGCCGTTTTATCTACTTTAGCCTTTTCAATAACGGTTCTGAGTACAGTGGGGGTCCGCACAGAATACTATAATGCATGACGCCTTATACCTGCTCTCTGTGGACCACCCCTGAAGCATCTCCATCTGTCCAGTCATGTGTCTATGTGCCCCGATCTCTCCTGCTGCTCCCCCCCCCCACGCTCCGTCCTCCCTTCCTTCCTTCCTCATTTCTCTCCAGTTTCTTAAGCCACAAGAGGCAAAAAAATATAAAAGGGGATTTATATTTGCAGGTCGGCCATCACGAGACTGAATTGACTGTCGATCCTGAACGACTTGTGCTCTTGTAGGATTTTAAAGGCTGAGTAACTGGAGGGGCGCTTCTTTAGTTGTCGGTTTCAATCCATTGACTGATCTGTCATTGGCAAATTTAATACATGAATTTCAAGACCCGCAGGCAAAAGAAGCTTTCTTTTCACTGGGCTGTAATATAAAGTGATCATTGTGGAGAAATACCGTTATAAGTCCAGCTTTCTTTTTATGTGGTTATTTTTTCATAAGTGAGATTTTTAGAGTCCCTTTTGTGAAACTTTTCTGGAGTAAAATGGCGTGGTTGGAATCACACACCAGCTTCTCTAACTGGACGGTTTGACAGATGGATTCAGCAATTAATTACCTGAATACATATTTCTGTGTGAATGATTTTACCATGGGTCTTTTGTATGGATAATTGGATTACTATGTTCTACTGTATGCTCTATTGTGTACTATGAAGAAAGTACTGTGTGTCTAATGGAGGTGCTAATATATAACATGATCACATTAGGATTATATTATCATCCTGGCCTTGAATATAGACAAATTCACGAAAACGCAAGGCTTTACAAATGCTGACCTTGAATAAACCACTGTGCTTGGAAAACGATCTGGCTTGATAAAACTTACGCTACTATAGATAAGATTGTCGGGAGGTGAAATATAATTGAAAACGCAGAAAAGCACTCATTTTAATTCCTATATACCTTGTAAAGTAATTTGTAAAGAGCAGTGCATTTAGTCAAGACTACAGCTTTTTTTTCCGTACCTCTGAATGTATGATACATTGTGAGACTTAATCATTTACGACAGCCTACATTTTTTGCTTAAATCTGTCCAAAGTGTCAGTTCCAGTGGTTTGCTTTTGCTTATCCTCGCCATAAGCCCGGAGCAGCTTAGGCCGATAAGGCGAGCAACCGGCGGGTCATCAGCTGCTGAGTCCATATAATGTGTGTATATGCGCATTCCTGGATTTCTTTATGGCGTTTCTTTCCTGTTGGTCTGATTGTGAATTTAACCCATTTGCCATATTTGCACATCTTTTGTAAGTTGTGTCAATGCTAGGCGATGCAGAAAGACACATCCCCCAGACTGGCACAAGCTTTATCTCAGCTCCCAGATGCATTTTTTTTTGACAAATCCGGTCTTGACCAAACTCACAGGTCAATCTCATAATGTAACAACCTGCAGCAGCCAGACTGTGTGGGAAAGCACCAATGAGCATCGACTGTACATGGTTGTCATGATTGAGAGGGCAGTTCTAACGGGAATTTTTCATGATTTTAGATGAATGGGAAAAATTGGGGATGATATCAGCATTTACATTTTGAGTGGGACATACTGTAATTATTTTAGTTATTTTATATTGTTTATTTTATTTATTCTATTTATTCTATTAATTTATTGTATATATATTAATTATTTTATTTATTTTATTTATTTTATTTATTTTATTTATTTTATTTATTTTATTTATTTACTTTATTTGAGCGTCAGAGTTTCACACTGTCCAGCCTGTTTTGAACTGAGCACAGCAGATGTTACACACACACAAGTAAGGAATTTTAATATAGGAAGCGAGAGTATTTGGCACGCATAATTTTCCCCTGCAAGATGTGACCAATGTCTTGAGGCTCTCTGGTTCATGAAGGGAACTGCAATAGCAACTGAGCATTCGTTGCCAATATTGTGACCTGAATAAAGGTTTATTTTTCCTAATTAAATATAAATGTAATTTCTCATTTAACTTAAATGATGAAAACAACTTGCCCATAATGTAGCTATGTATATGGAGATAGATGTTTTATTGTTTACCCCTTTAATGATGGACATTTATCATCATGGACATTCGTCATCTGCCCCTTATGGACCAATGGCTCTATGTTTTTTTATCGGTGCATTTATTATGTTTGAACTGTTGATTCTCTGATGTTGGTGAATTCAATGGTTTTGTTAAGTGCTCTGTAAAAACTGTTGTGAATTAGGACAACACAAGAATACATTGAATTGAATTGAACTGAATTGACAAGAAACTCAGGTGTTCCGCGGCGTACACATCAATAAATACATAATTCTAAAAAGAGACGTTCACATGTTTATCTCAGACAGATGTTGTGCCTTCTTGTATACGGCGGAAGTCACAAAATATCTTGAAACAAAAAAAACTACTACTGATGATAATTGACAAAACTCGGTCAAGTTGACTTCATATCTTGCTATAGATAACAAAGTCGATGAAAATTGTGTAATAAATGCATATTAATTGTGTTTACACTATTTCCATTGCTTTCTATGTGGACAAAGGAGTGAAAAACAATATTATTTTCATCTTTTAGGTTTTATCGATTTAGTTTGTGGAGAAATAGAGGTGCTTCTGTTTGGACATTGTGCTGTTGCCCTTTGAACACAGACAGTTCTCTATTTAAACATACTAAAAAGGACATTAAGAAGAATCCTTCACACTTGAGGAAAGTAAAACCCTAAGGACCATCGATTATGTCTCACACTAATTTGTCTTTTTGGGTTTTATCTGCAGAAGTAAAGACTTTGGGAGAGGTTACGACAGGTGCAAAGTAAAACAAAGTGCTGACTGAGAATTGGATATAG